CAGCGAGACGCCAGGCCGGGCCGACAGCCGGCGCGCGGCTTACTGGCGACGGACGGAGTGCGTCCGAGGACCGGAGCCAGCGCGCAGCCCGCGCCCCGGTATGCGCGCCGCCCTCGCGGCAGGGCCTCCCTCCTCCAGGAGGAAAACATGTTGTGCCCGGCCGCACGGCAGTCCAGAGCAGCGGCCGGTCGCGGCGGAGGGCAGCGAGGGATGCCGAAGACCGCCCCATTGTCCGTTGTGTTACCGGCCGCGGCGACCGGCCAGTGGGATGATAATGGCGCGCGAGGATGCTCCCCACGCTCCCCTTGCACGGCGCTCGGCGAAAACAGGGACGCGCCAGGACGGCCCATGTGGGTCACGAGCGACGGGATCCTGATCCTGTGCCCCCTGCATCGTCACGGTACTCACGTCCGCCGCGGTCCGCGGCCGGGCCTTCGCCGCTGTGGCGCAATGGGCGATAGTTTTGTCGCGTGGTGCATGCACACGATGGCGGCTGGGTTTCGCCACTGCGCCGATAGCTATCAGATTTAGCGTGTATTTGCATATCACCACAATCGCCCGCCAACTCACTGTCTGTCCCACATGCGTTCCCAATACCCTGAGGCTAGGCTTTGCGTTGTGTGATGCATGTACCGAAAACGCAAAGCTGTTTTGGAGATTGTGCGCCACAAAAACTGACTTAGTTCATGTCATAAAACTGAGTTAGTTTTTAGTTAGCATAGATCAAGATGGCACAGGCCCAATGGCAACCGCAATCATTTTTCTCGAAATGACTTCAACCGCGCAAAATAACGGTCCAAACGCGGAGTAATGCCAGCACGTACTGTCTGCTAAATGACCTGATACAAGTGTCCATCCGTTGGATGCCAAGGCGGGTAGCTCATTTAAAGTGTCTAATTCGCAACAATAAGTTTTATCATCGTATTACCAGACGTACAGCTAAACACTGGACCGTGTGCTAAGTAGTCAAGCAAATTGCTCTTCAGTTGGACATGCCGTCAAGTGGTTGGCAGTGCAGCGTTGAATAATAGCCTTGACTGAGCATTCAGTTCATTCGACAAACGTCGCAAGATGCCTCCCTTCCCACGCTAATCATATGCACGATAGCGGATTTCATAAGCAGCGGCGTAGCTCAAACAACACCCTAACTTCTTTCCAGCTTAAAAAAGGGACAATGCACTCCATTTCAGGAAGGAACCTCATACCATCTCTATCACATGAACGCGGAAACGGCCGGGGGCACGGCCGGGAAGTAAGCATGGTTTCCCGTATATCAAACTGTCTGGGCCCAATTCCATTATCGTTCATCCCACTCACTAATTGTAAACGCAAGTTTCAAAATGGCATGCACTGAGCTAGAACGCCGGTCATGAGTATGCTAGCAAAAGTACGGCTTCTGCCACGGCAGTAAAATAATCACCACACCTCACGGATTCCCACTACCTTGCATCACGTGGCTAGCATGTGACACTCACCTGAGATAGAACTAGTGTGACGTCATCGTTCCGAATCCTCCGCCAACATGGTGGAGGCCACCGAGAGGATGTAGTCTCCGGCCATGATGGCCTGCGGGGCAGGCGAGCACACGCGGTCAGACAGGCCGGCGCCGGGCATCTGACGCGGTCACGGCTGGGAAGGGGCGGGGCTCTGGGGCGCCGCTCCCCCACGCACATGTGCCATCGTCGCAGCTCTACAGCCATCACATCGCGCAGGCAAACTTATATGAACAGCAACGGCTTCATCACCAAGGTTAGCTAGCTCCTGATGTGATGGCACTACCGCCTGTGGCAATCATACGCTTTAGTGGTCCTCCTGGAAAGCCAGTACGCTGCACACCAGACTGGCGACCGTTACGACTTTGTCGCACGAAGCCTGCTGAGACAGTGACATACACAACACCGGAGTCCTGGCGATGATGCGCGGTGAGGGGCTAGGGTTCGAGTCTAGTGCTCAGCAATACTTTATTCGCCGAGGACGGCATGCCGTTATAGGGCACCGGTAACACCAGTATGAACAAGCGACACGGCGCAACGCAACAGGCACGCGGCACTCAAGGTTATTGTATTAATACAGCTACCTAATGACATGTAACAGCACTGCCGGCCCGGTACGATCAGCTGGACGAACCCAGTAATGCTGCGAATGGCAGCAACGCTCATGGCTATCCACATCAGCCATTCGCATGTCATGTCTATAAGATTGGCCACTGAAATCCATCCATCCAGTTCAAGCATCGCGTCGCACTACGACGCATATCTTGTTGCCTTGCGGGTGACGGAGACCACCGCTGGCGGCGCATCAAAGAGGCCTCATTAATTTCGAGGCATCTGTCTCCTGACCCCTGATGAGGCGATGAGCCGTGGGAATCTGCATTTCACTCCTCAAGGCCGGTTTGATGTAAACACGTTCACCTTGCGTTCGGCCCCAGGACAGCACCAAACACGCTCCGATCGGTGCGAGCCTCGGCCGCGCGCCGGCAGGACGGCGGCGGCGCCACCGTCGCGTCGGACCTGCGCCGCCTCCCGACACCCCGACGTCCGGCCGGGCCCATTGCGGCGTGTCTGGCTCGCGCGTGCCGCCTTACGAAAGGCGGCGCTGGGCTGGCACGTTACGTCAGCGGCGGCTGACAGTCTGGCGCGGCGCCGCCCTCTCGCCGACCACCGCCAGATGGCTCAATCGACGCCTGCTGGCGGAGCGGCGCCGACGGCGTTCGCGCGCGCGCCCGCGCGCCGCCGGCGGCCGGCGCGACCGCACATGGCCGCCGCTCGCGCCGAAACGGCGAAAACTGGACGCGCCATGAGATCGTCCGGGTGACGCGGCCGACACGGAGTACCTTCAGGCGTCTTCCCACAGTAAATCGGATAACTGTGCCAGGGAGACGAGGCTCTGCTGGTTAGTCGCACGCGAACTATGTCCGTTAAGGCCAAGCTAGATGGATACATTCGTTTTCGCCAGGCGAAAGCAAGTCGCAGGCTGACGCTGTTCTCAGATTACCGCGCTGCATCAGACATGCAGTCGATGATGCGGTCATAGCGGTCAGTGCCATCATGACAGCATCAGTTCCTTATTTCTTCCTTTTTTTACGCATAGTGTGGTCATAACCTTTACCAAGAGTTTCTTACCTAGAGTATGGCCATAAACTATAGCACATGAATCATATTCATTCGTGTATGATGGATCTATATCATACCATTGTCATGCTACATTTCATGTCGCATGACATAGCTTTTACACATCATATCCCACACAATTATGGTGCTCTTGGCGTTACTTGAGTCTCCAATGCGTTAACAGTACCAGAAGTTTAGAAAAGAGCAAATCTCCATTATAACTCAAGGCACTGCTTCTGCAATTCCGAGGACTGCTTGAACAGACCAGCCACTTGCACATATGCCGGGGCCGCTGGATCGCCACCGTGGCTGGCCCATGATCTGCACACACGCCGCACTCTAAGCCCACTGCGTTGTTATGGCGACCCTGCCCGCTCACGTGCCGTCCCTCACTTCCTGCAGCGACAAATAGCAGTGCATCTGCCCCACCGCCGGCAGCGACACTCCTGGTGTCAGCGGACACACTCTCCTGGCGCCGGAGCACCCACTCCTGACGCCGGCGGCGACACTCCTGGTGCAGGCACGACGATCACGTGCCAGGAAGCGAAGCCCGCCAACAGACCATGGCCACCGGCCGATGGCACCGCTCGCCGTACCGGGCATGCGATGAGGGGAGGGGCTGAATGACTCGGCCGCTGAGGACGCGTGATGAGGGCGGGTCCAGGAATGCAGGCGACTGGGGTGAGCGATGAGGAGGGGCGGGCCAAGCCGCACCTGGGCAACGGCCCGGCGATGGCGCAGACCCGAGTCAGTGACACCTCGTCCAGCGGCGAGGCGGCGCCGAGACGCATCCTTCGCCACGTGGTCTAGCGCGAAGGCGTACGTTGGTGATGCATCTAGTGACACTTCGAGAGGACGGAGACGTGGAGCCGGAGATGGGAGACCAATGATCAAACACTAGTGGGGGAGAGTATGCGGAGAATGGATCCAGTGACATTTCGTACGGCGGAAACGCGATGCAGAAACTTGATCCAGTGACAACCGATTCCGTGAGAAGACTATGACGGTGACCAAGTCGGAGAGACGCGGTACAGTGGGAATACGGCTCTGTGAGCGGATCTAATGACTGTCCGGTGAGATGGCGAGTGGGGACGGATCCGCTGGCGCTTGGTTCCCTGGGAAGGCGACCATGAAGATAGACTGGATGGCAAACCATCGACAGAGGGACGGATGGAAGCGGCACTACATGACACACAGCCAGAGGAATGCCATCCACGGGAAGGGACCCCAGTGACCCAAGCGCGAGCAGATGGCGAGAAGATACCACCCTGCAAGCTGTTCAACCGCCGCCGGGCAGATAGGCGACCTACTGTGCACTGTCTGCTGCTCTTGGTCCAGAGCCGGTGCAGACCGCTCAGATTGGACGCCGCAAGCGCTGCAGCTGCAGCCAAGGCCACACACGGCCAGGTGGGCCAGAGTCGAGCCCGCCCCGCGAGCAATCGGACCCAATCGCCCTCACCAGGCCGAGCTGGCTCACCTCACGCCGGGGCTGGGCGCGCGCCACCCCTGGCCCGCCGAGCGTCGCCGGCGGGCGCTGCACGCGTGCCGCCGCCAGCGCGCCGGGTCGGGGGTGGCGGCACGGGCCGGGTCGGTGGGCGCTGTCGGCTCCGTGCGCGCGCCGGCGGCCGTGGTGTCAGCATACCTCGTGCGGCGAGCCGGCCACCGACCGTTTATACGGAGATGAGCCGAGTGGGAGCAACGACTCGCTATAGAAACCGTCCGTCCGGCCGGTAACCGACCACGGCTCGGAGGGCGCGACAGGCCCGACTGGCACCCGGCGAGGCCATCAGCTGGGCGACACGCCGCATCGCACCACCCGGCCCCGCTCATGCGGGTGGCGCCGAGTTCAGGCGGACGCCACCGAGCGCCAGGCGACACCGCCGGCGCCGAACGCGGCGCGCTCGTGGCGAAACCGGCGCGGGCCCGCGAGACGCGTGTCCGGCAGCTGACGCGGTATAACGGCAGTGGAGCAGCGCCGTCAGCTGCCGTCTGCCCGCCGCGCCTGCCCTCGATGCCGACCGACGGACCGACCCGACCACCCGCCGGCCGACGTCTGTGATGAAAGCGTGCTGCCACCCAATGTCTCGGCGTAAAGTAACGTCCTCTCGCTACGCTTGTCACTTTCGTCCCACAATGTCTTCATTTTTCGGCCTGTTAAAAAGACATCCTTCATCCGTTTTGGGACGGCATTCAGCGAATAATTGCTATTGAATGCGCCTTTATGCTTGCGTCTCCTCAGTCCCTGTCCTCCAGTCACAAGACGTCACGCCTAGAAAGGCCGATAGTAGTCTGGAAGAAGTGGTCAGGTAGGAAGTAGTATAGGTAGTCTGGAAGCCAGTGTGAACAGCTTGATCTTTCGCTGAACACGGATGCATCTGCTATCAGGGAGTCGGTGTGCACCATTCAGCGTACGTTGTCTGGACGTCTGTTAGAAGGCTGGCGCCACAATAAACCTCGCCTGATCACGGCGAGCATCCGTGCCCAGACGCCAGTAGAAGACGGAAGCCGACCACCGTGTCACGGTCAGTACACCACCAAGGTAACCACTGGGCTCCCGAGTCGTCACTGAAACACGACCCTGGGCGACCACATCTCGGGGCGGCGTTATCGAGAAACTGCTCCCCACCACACGCTGCCAGACAAAAAAACTTCACCGCAGCAGCACGGTGAGTACACACTCAACACAACAAGGGCGCGGCTTACATGGCTGTGACCTAGGTCATGGCTTACTCTATCCACGTAGTGCTGAAGACGATAGGGGTGAGTGAGCGGCCGTGGGTGAGCAGTGACCGTGGGTGAGCAGTGGGTGAGCGGCCGTGGGTGAGCAGTGAGTGAGCACTCAGAAAATCCAGGAGACCAAAACCAATGCGCTGCGACGGTCACAATGATGACGGGCTACGCCATCCACGAGCAACTATATTCCAAACATGCGTCTAACGGAAGATCGTCTTGGTCCTCCGCATTTTCCCCCGCACGGACACCATCTCCCTCCGAGCAAAAGGCACCCGTCCCTGCCCTCCCTCCGGCTATTTCTCGGTGGGCCCTCTCCAGACGGCTCGGGCGAGCGGGCGGCCGGCCTCCGTGCGGCGCGTTGAAACGGTCCGCGCGGCGCGCGCGCCCGCCCACGGCTCGTACCCACCATCCAGCGCCGACCGCCGGCGGCGGCGGAAGGAGAGAAACCCAGCCACTCTGGAAAGCTCGCGGCCATCCATTCCGGCTACGAATCCGCGCGGTGTGCGCAGCCGCCCGCCGGATTCCTAGGCCGCCGTTACGGGCGAGGCCGGCGGCGGTGTGGCCCAATCGTCCGCGACGAGGGCCAGTTTCAGCGCCGAGCGCCGCCGGCTGCGCGGGCCGCCGGTCGGACAGGGCCTCGCGACGGACCTTCACCCAGCGCCGGCCCCGCCCGTCCGGACCGCGCGCACCGCGGCCGCCAGCCAGGCCCGGCCAAGCGGCTTACTGCCCCATTTTCTGGGCGCCCGCGGCGTGAATACCGAGACCGGCTCGGCGGTGGCCAGCGGCGAAAAATGGCCGCGCATCTGCGCTGCCTCGACCCGGAGAAAACGCTCGGCTGACGTCACCGCCGTCGGCGGCCGCGGCTGCCGACACCGCCGGGTCCTGCACCGCCGTGTTCGGCGACAACATGGCGGCGCTCGACGTTCGTTGCGTTGACCCACCGGTGCGATCCCCAAAAGCGTCTAGTGATGATTCCGGAGACATTCATAGCCGCCATGATGACATTTACGTCCTTCACAATTGCATATTCACAAGAGCCGGCCGCCTTCATCACCGGCCAACTCTATCCACTCTATCCACGTTATCAGACATATCATATACATCAATTGCGGAATAAATTGCCACGAATGGTACAGCGCAGCACTACCATCGATCTACAGCTTTGCTCTGTCACCGCGCTATCAAAGATGCTCACATCACACGACTTTACTGGACGGCACCGTCAGCAGCAGCAGCAGCGGCGGGTGTGTGGAATCAGCAGCAACAGACGTGGATGACATCATCATGGACAGCGGCGACAAACGCCTTAAAAGCAGTGGGCATTTTCTACGGCACCGCTGACTCCTCTTTCTCCAACAGCGGTGGCGTTATAACGTCAAAAGAAAAGGACTGTCACTATCAGCAGGCGGCCATCGCCATCAGCCGTGGCGACCGACACCACCATTCCTCGTGGCAGCCGTCAGCAGTGACGTCAGCCCATCAGCATCCGCATCAAGATCGGTGTCCATCATCGGCAGTGTCCATCATCGGAGGCGTGCATCATCAGCGCCGGTGTCCGTCAGCAGCACCGGTCATTATCCGCAGCGACGGCAGAGAATCATCTCCATCACCAGCAGCGGCGGCGGCGGCGGCGGCGGCGGCGGGAGAGTGGCGCCGTGCGGCTGCCTGACGTATCACGCCGCAGAGAAAATGAATGACGGCGCGGCGAGTGTTGTAACGGAGCCGGCCGAGGGCCGGCGGGCGCATGAGTATGCTGCGCGTGCGCCGCGCGCTGCCCCTGGCCACGGCCGCCTCCCCACACTTTCTACGGCGCCCCGGCCGGCCCAGATGCCACGTCCGGCCGGCAGGCGGGACTTTCACTTTTCCCGGATCCGAGCCGCGGCGCGTCGACGGTGGACGGCGCACATGGCGTCACTTTCGGCCGGCGGCGGGGGCCGGGCGGGGCCGTGCGGCCTACGGCGGACGTCGCGGCGCCGCCCGCCCGTCGTCGCCGCCGACGCTCGCTTCAACGGGCGGCAGACGCCACCGGCGCCGGCGGCGGCTGCTGACCCGGACACGCGACTCTTGTGGCGGCGCTGGCTGGGTCACAGGGGAGAGGCGGGGGGGGGGGGGGGGGCGTGACTGAGCCGTGACGTCATCACAGACGGAGATGCCGGGATGGGTACGGTCGGGAATGTGCTTGCTTGACTAACAGGTGATGTTAACTAGGCAGAGTGCTGAGATTGGTGGATAGTCGGAGTTCGCCAACAGGAGTGCGCGTTTATGTCATGTCACGGACTTCACGTAAGGAACACAGCGTGACCTAAAATCGGACGCGGATGCAGTACGAAGATCTCCAAGCCCAAACTCATTCATCTTTAGGCACAAACGCAGTAATTTTAGGAGCTGATATCATGGTGCCACATCGAAAATGTAAGCAGCTTTTAATGAAGTGAGAAAGGATTTACAGCTGCAACTGGTCTCCTCGCTTACTTCTCGGTCGTGCGGATTTTTTAAACGGCATTACAATATGAGAATCTCTTAAGATTAGGTGAAACAAAGCGCATCAAATATCTGGTTAGAGATATCGGAGTTGTGCTGTAGCGAATCCTCTAGGCAACCCTTTTTCAAATAACTGTCAACATTCACAAGGCAAAGCCAATGAGCTTTAATGTGAAAACAAGCCGACACCATACGCACGAAATGCTTTCCTCTTAGAATTGAATCGCAGGAAATGCCATGATATTGGTAATGCGGGTGACGCAGAATTAAATTTAAACAAGTACCTTGAACGAAAATGGGTGAGACAAGAAACGCCATTGACGACAGCGGAACAATAAAATTACCGGGATGATGGCGGATGGATCACCCTAATGACCGCCAACAGTCCTATCAGGTGATTCAGCGTACAAACTGCGCACTTATTCATCACTAAGCCGAAGCGAGAAGCCTTGAATATAATTGAAACGGGGCTGGAGAAAGGTACGCGCATGTTCGAAACGCGACCGGAATGTTGTTCCATTTTCCGTGTGGTCGGTATTTCGCCGCCAAACTCGTACACGTGTGGTACATGTCGTCACTCGATCGCACACGGCGCGTTCCCACAATCTGACGATGGATCACGCGCGGCGTGATCGCGCGACGTGCGCCGGCCAGACACGACCCGCCGCGTCGAGGTCTCCGGAGACCGCAACGCTGGGGCGGCCGCATCCCGGCGGAGACTGCAGCAGCGCACAGAACGCGTCCCGCTGCCACCGCTGCCGACTCGCACAGCCAGCCGCCGGCGCCCAGCCCGCAGAGTGGTGCCAGGGGCGGGACCGCCGCCGGGCCGGACCGGGACCCGCTGTAGGCCTCCGGCGGCAGCGGCCCGCGCCGTCAGCAGGCGCAGCCGTCTGGGCGGAACGCGCCGGCCGCAGGCCCACTTACCGGCGGCCCGCTAGCCGGGGCTCGTCCCACCGCCGGCGGCTAACCGCGGGGCTTGCTGTTAACCCACTTTGAGCGCCGGCGGCTGAGGTCGCCGGGCCACCGCTCGTCGACTGCCGACGGCGGCGTGCGGCACCTCACCTGCGTGACCCCGGCCCGCGGCCGCCCCGCCGGCACACTCACCCGCTTCTGGCCCCAGTACTTGTTGACGCTGGCCTTGCCACGGCGTGTGTCGGACGCGTCGATCACGTCGTCGTGCACCAGCGACGCCGTGTGGATCATCTCCGTGATCATGGCCACACGCCGCTGCGACGGCAGCAGGAACCTGCCGCAGGTCATCAGATGGGTCACGGGTCAGTGCTGACGGCGGGGGCGTGCGACAGGTCAGGGGTGGGCGATGGCGGCGGTACCGCGACAGCCGGCCCCGTCAGGGGAGGCGGACAGCAGCAGGGCCTGCGGCGGCGGGCGCGTCGAGCGTGGGCGGTGGCGACAGGCACCTGCGTCAGGCGGCCGGGTCAGGGATGGCGCTGCGGCGCGCCGACGCGGTGAAATCGGGCGCGACGCGGGCGGAGCGCGCCGCCGTCGGGCCGTCGTCGGCGACGGCGGCGGCGGGCCCCGGTGATCGGCCGCCGGCCGTGACCGATCGTGTGCCCAATCGGAGGTGGTCGCGCGCGCTGATGGAGCGGAGGGACGGTGGCCGCGCCGCCGGCGCCCCGCCATTAGTGGAACACGCGGCCCGTGGAACCGGGCCAGGCGGCGTGGCCGGCTGTTTACGGGCGCCGGCGCGAGCCGGGGTCGGAGTCGGAGAGAGTCGCCAGCAGCGGCCCCTGCGCCGGCCGGCCGGCCGCCCCGCGCCGGCGCCGCAGCCGCGGTCGCTTTCCAAAGTGGCTCGACCGGACGCCGCCGCGGCCCCGGGCCGATGGCGCAAGCGTCGCCGCGTCGGCGCGCACCGCCACAGCCTCATGAATAGTGATCGGCGCCGCGCCAAGCTGTGTGCGAAGCGCGCGCGCCGCGTCGTCAGCCAGCACGCTGACCACCGGCGCGGCCTTGACCGACCGCCGGCGGCCGTTGCGTGCCGTGGCCGGCCACGAGCCGCCTTTTTTGCTCCTATTGCCGACGTGTACTTCCGCCGAGCACACAAAAAGCACCGTGTCGGCCGGCGTGAATGGGCGCCGTGCGCGTGCCGCGGCCACTGTATTGTGCGGTGTGTGCTCGGCGCGCCGCCGAGAAGGGCGCGCCACGCGACTGGCAGGCCGGCCCGGGCGGACGACCGGCCCGGCTGCGAACGGCCGCCCGCTCGCGCCCTCATGAAAAACACCGGTGGATTGTGCCCAACAAGCGCCGTGCGTAATTCATGTGATTATGCCTGGGAATAAACGCGCAAATGGCTCGAGCATTGTGGACGACATGCCGCTTCAGTAGTCTCATCCAGAACTGCGCAAACGAAGCTATTTCACCCAGCAACGGAGCCATTTGGCCGATGACAGCATTGCTACGTTACGAGACTCTAACCCGAGCACCAGAGCACTTAACAGCATCAGGGCGCAGGGGCGTACCAACGCCGCGCGCCGCGCCCGTGCCCGGAGCGCCGGCGGTGGCGGACGGGCCGGGTCGGGCCGGGTCGGCTACCCAGCCCGGGCCTCCACTGAGCCGGTACGCTCTGTTCCGGCGGTGGCCCCCGCTAATGATGGCGCGCCGGTGTCGACACAGACGCGGCGCGCGGCGCCGACGCCGATTCAGAGACGCCACCGCGCCAAGTAGGACGTGACAGGCGCAATGGCCGCCGGTGGGAGAGGCCCGGACGCCGCCACCGCCGCCGCCGCCGAGCCCCGGCCGACGCGGCCAGCTTCAGTGGTTGGTTCCGAAGTCTGCGGTGTAGTACTTTACGCGGTAGGTGGTGAGCCTCGCCGAAGTCCACCAACTAGCATGCGGCAGATTGAAACAACTTTCCCCCGCTAATTGTGCAAGCCGCTGAGAGCTGTGGCACAACGAATCGGTCGAAGTTTCAGTTAGCGTAAAGATGGGGTTGCCCAATCTTCCTGGACAAACATTTTGAAACACCCGGATTTTTTGTCTCTGAGCCTCTACGCGGGCTGGAGGAGACCAGAGGCGACAGCCCAAGGTCAGCCCCTCCACCTCACCATCCCGAAGCGTCCGCGCGCACAAACACTCTCTTACCACGTCCCAGCACATCCCCCCCCCCCCCCACACACACACCCAACACAGCTCGCGCCCGTCAGCGAGCCGACCGCCGCCCACATTCCACGACCATCCCGGCACGAGCTGAGAACAGCAAGTCACGAGTCGGCGTGGATGCTGCCACGCGCCCCGACCCACAGTCACGAGCGGCGCACGGCCGTGGGAACGGCGCGGCGCGCGCCAGCTCACCTTCTGTGGGGGTGTGCGTGTGAGTTGATGGCACGCGCCGTCAGGCACGTGATCATCGGCCGCACGGCTTTTCCCTGGCCGTCGAAGTAATAGCTGGCTATGTCTTTGAGCAGCTGGTTGTCGGTGGTGGACAGTTCCTGCAACAGCGGGCGGGTGTCAGCGACGCGAGCGCAGGCCGACAGGCCGCTCCAACACCACACTGGTGGGAGGGGGGAGGCAGGATGCGAGGAGAGGTGGTGACATGCGGTGGAGAGGGACGCGAGGAGACGGAGACAGAAGTGGACAGAGGATAGGAAATAATACAGCAAAGAGAACGGCATTAGAGCAGGCGATGACGGGCGGTTAAGAGGAAACACGCGAAGGCAGACACAGCCGAAGGACGGACAAAAAGGGGAACACGTCCACAGAAGGGGCCGACAGCGGGAGGAACCGGTGGAGGACAGACCAGACGAACGGCAGCAGCATCACCTTACGACGAGGGGAGGACGCCGAGAGGGGCAGGGTGACACGGAGTCGGGAGCGCAGGCAGACGCCGGGAAGAGCCACGGCGCCCCGACGGCTCCGCCTGATGGGGATCGCAGCTCTGTCCGACGCTCCACTGAGCCTGCACGCGCACAAGCCGCTGCAGAGCCCGACATCGACTGGTGCAGGCGCCGCTCAAGCTGGTACTCAGTGAGGCAGGTCCGGTCGTGCAACTGAGATGGCTCGCCTGACGGCTTCGCTTGCAACCAAGACCATCTGTACACCAGAAAGACCAGTTCGGCAACACCTGCCGCGTGCCAGCGTGCGATAGCGTCGCAAAGCTGTCAGGCGAGCAAGCGGCCCCTACGACCTCTGAAACCGATGGCATGAAGGGCGTGCTGAGGCCCCGTGACTGCTGCAATGTAGCAGTTGCAAAGCATCACTGTAGAACATAGCTCCCTGTGTTACACTGTTCGTGGCAGCAATGTATTTCCCTCTGTTCTTGGCGAGTTCCGTGTGTTCTGCGGACTGTTCACTGCGGCCGTGCATTTCACTTTGTTCTTGGTGGATGCAACGATGACGACGGTGATGTTGACCTCTCTCTGTCCACAGCGGCAATACGACACGACGCTTCTCGCTCTGCGCTGATCATTGTATAAGTGAGATATGTCATTTATATCTGGAACATCCGGTCCCTGCCGGACTGGTCCCAAACCCGAGACTGTACGCTGACACTGCATGGGAAGCCTCCATACTTGATATCGATCAGGGATCCCTACGGAGCGAGTGTCGGCGCAGGGACGGCGCGGTGCGGGGCTGTGCGCGCGACTCCGCCGGACTTCACGACCAATCGCCGTCCGTGGTGGAGTCAGACACCGCCAGTGGTACGCCCTGAACCCCCGGTCTGCTCCTCGGGGATTGCCGGGGAGATCATCGCTTTACTCTAAGTCGTCGCGATCCCTCGCATGGAGCATGCGCGCCGCCCATAGATCAACACTCACCTAGCTGTAGACGATCTCGCAATGTGTTGATCAGTTGGCAAGATGACGGGAACGGTAATAGTTAGGCATGCGCCGAAGTATTACGTAGGAGCAGCTCAATAAGATTTAGCGCGCTTAGCTTACGGCGTGTTACGCCTCAGCGACAGCAAGCACGCGCTGGTGGCGCCGTCCTCACAGCGGCTGTCATGCATCAAGCAGTCGCACTGGAGCGGAAGCACACGATATCCCCGACATTCGGCGGTGCTGCGGGCCACACACCGCATCTTTCGGCGGCGTGCGGCGCCGCGCCCCCATCGGCCGCGTCGGAGCCCCTCCGCCCGATCAGCCACCACAGGCCCGCGCCGCGCTGTCTCCTCGGGTACGTACGCACCGCGCCGGCCGGCAGTGGCTCGTGCGCCGCGTTGGCGCCCGTGGCGCTGCCGACACCGTTACGGCCCCGGCCTGGCCGGCGCGGCACCACCGACGCGCGGCAGCTGACCGGCAGAGCCGCCGCCGGCTCGGCGCACGATCCGCTGGTGCCGCGCCGCCACGGCGACGGGTAGTGTCCGCACGCGGCAGCGCCAGACGCTGATGGACGACCTCCGGACTTGCAGGCGGAGCGCCACGTCGGGCCGAGGCGCCGTCACTACCAGCAGCTACGAGGGCGGCGCCTTCCGCCCGCCAGCTGGGATGCACCACCCCACGCTGCAGCCGGCGCCAAACCGGTACTCCCGTCTGGGGCGCCGCAACGGTGGCATGCAACCCGACACAGGACACTTCATTATACATGCAATGTCGCCTGTTCGGCCTAGGACAACACCCAGGACAGTAGCCCACGACTCCGCTCGGCAATGCTGCACAGCCGGTCCACCGTTGCTTCGCAATGCTGCACAAGGCGACCGCCCGCACGCCACTCACTTGTACTATGTCGGTGAACATGTGTCGGATGTCGTCCTCGGTGGTTTTGCTCGTGTCGGGCTCGTCGCGCGCCTCGGCGCCCGGCTGCTGGATGGAGCGCGCCGGCGCCGAGGTGGAGAGCACGCGGCGCGCAGGGTCACGCCGGCCAGGTCCGGGCGGCTGCTGTCGGCAGGAGAGACACCGTCAAAGGGCAGCTCGCCGTCATCCGGGTCAGGCAGGCGCCAGCCGAGGTGTCAGCGGGGGGGGGGGGGCGGGGGGGGGGGGGGGGGTAGGGCAATGAGTTCAGGGCCAGAAAGGGTCCCAGGGGTCGCAAGGGATGCGCACAGAGTAGGGTGAGTCAATGCTTGGGCTATTTAATCCCGGAAAAAACTGACCGACCTCACCGGGTTCAACATACGACATGTCAGATGTCGCTGTACGACGTCTGACTCAGACTCTCAGATGTCAGATGTCATATGTTGTGACCAGATGTCAATATATATGACTTTGACGGCGTGACCAATGCCCACGCCATGGTAAGACGCGGGCACTGTGAAGTGCCATACCAGTTCTAATATGCCGTGAAAACATGCCACGCTACCGTTTAGGTAACCATGTGCCGAACCGCATCACAAAGTTGAAGTCAACTATTATTGGTCAGCACACGCCGGACGCGCTCATGAACACCTTGGGTATGTGCTCAGCATCTTACGTAAATAGATTGACAATGCGGTCCTAAAAATGTCAGCCTTTTCACTATATCAGGGTTTGGATTTTCAGTGCATAGCACACCAAGTGGTCCCAGTCTCGCAGAAATGACTCCACGCTCTCGTGATACCCCGGCGGGTGCGATGGGGCGCGCCGCTGTCGGCCCCAGCCCGGCCGTCGGCGTCTGGCATGCACCGGAGCCGTCTGACCCCTCTCTCGCTCCCTCAACCATCGGTCTTTCCCGCCACCGCGCGGCGACCTGACCCCATCCTCCCATTCCACCCCCGGCCCGTGCAGACGCTATCCGTATGTCGGCAAATGGAGCGGCGCGGCGGCGCCGGGACGCCTCTGCCACCGGTCGCTTCGCTCCAGCGGGCGACAGCGGGCCCAGGCCAGAGAGGGGTTCGCCCGGTCGCAGGCACAGAACGAGGTCGCACCAGGGGCCGCGCGCCAGCGCGCGCCATTATACCGCCCAGCCGACGGAAGAGTAACCGCGCGCGCGCGCGCGCGCGCGCGCGAATTTCTCCCGGCCGGTAATGGGGACAGCGCCGGAGGCGGCGGAGGCGGCGGCGTGATCGGTCACCGCCACCCACGGAGCAGCGCTTCGGCCAGCACTGGCCCCATCTGTCGGCTATTATCCACGCATGTGACTGCTCTGGCCAATGGCAAGAGTGTTAACATGCCGTTTGTCGTCATCCGGCTTGTGAAATATTTGCGCCACATACAAGATTCCGACTCGGGCTCAGGATCGAAAGTCCATCGTGTCTGCCGATGGTGCCACTGCGACGCCATCGCTCTCGGTAGTGGTCTCGGCAGTAGGCTTGGCAGGGGTCTTGTCAGCGGTCTCGACAGCGGTCTAGGCAGGGGTCTTGGCAGCGGTCTCGGCAGCAGTCTAGGCAGGGGTCTTGGCAGCGGTCTCGGCAGCGGTCTGGGCAGGGGTCTTGGCAGCGGTCTCGGCAGCGGTCTAGGCAGGGGTCTTGGCAGCGGTCTCGGCAGCAGTCTTGGCAGGCCCGCCAGGCCCCAGCGCGCCGGGACGCCGCTGGCGTGTGGCGACCTTCGCAGGGGTTTCACGTGCCGCGCGGTCACTAGCGAGCCCGGAGGCACGGCTGGCCGGCGCTGTTGACTTAGCCAATGCCCATTATCACAGCCAGCAGTGGTGCTCCACTCACCAGCGTTGATTCAGCAAGCAGCCGTGCTTCAGCCAGTGGCGCTACTCCAGCGCCGCTGAGCAGCACATCCGGCCAGCAGCGATGCTGGGCAGCAGATTCAACGAGCAGCGAAGCTGAGCCCGTCGAGACTGTCGTCACGGTTCAGTCGGTCCCCGAACAGCCGGTTTCCAAACCGGATAAGCTCTGAGCCCGGATTGGCTGCAATTGAATGTAAAATGGTGCCTGGACGACTAGGCTACACAGGGCAAACCTGTTCTGGCAAAATCCCGCAAAAACTGGCTACCAATGAAAGCCCGATGGAGCGCCGCGCTCCATATCATTGGCGCGTCAATGAAATCGACTCCGCCTGCCCGCTCGTCAAAAGCCCAATCAACAGCGTCCAGCAACTCCACACAGCGTCCCTCTGCGGCACGGCAGAGCGCCCACACAATGGCCGACGCTCAACCGCGCTCAGCGGCACGTGGCGGATGGCGCGAGCCCGGCTCTGACCCGCGGTGGACCAGCAGCTGCCGGCGACGCTGCCCGACCACTGTCTGTTGACAGGGCCAGCCTGTCACGTCTGCCGTCGTCACGCGCATCGAACACAGCCTCCCCTCCCACTGGGCATTCTCACTGGTCTTCCCGGCCGTGGCACCGCGTCACGCACGGCAGGTCGGAATGCGACGGATTGCGGGTGTGCACACACCACGTCAGTCAGCGTGAAATGGACAATGGCGAGCCTGAGGCGGGAGCAAGAGAATGTGGGCATGTGCAGCTCACCGCACTGTTATTCAACGCCAGTAATTCGAGGGAATGCTTCCCATTTACTCGAAGTATTGAGCTGAGCTAGCGATTCTGGAGATCACTGGAAAACCTACGCAAATATCACCACATTGCCGATTAAGTCCCAGAATGGCCTCCTTGCCGAGCTTGAGTGTAGGAAGTCCTGCCTTTCTTTGACTTTGCTTTTTTAAGTGCGACTTAATCGACGGCAAAAAAGTGCATTACACCAGTAACAGCATCCTTCCGGAATGTTGATTAAGATGAAACCATTAACACGCGATTGCTTGGCTTTTTATTTATTTTACGCATTCCGCACCACAGTAATATCGTGTCTGTGCGTCGAACAAAGTGCCGGTGTCGAAAAGTAAAACCACCTTACCCGGCGAGGTCTATCGTACACACAGCGCAATAAACTTGAAAACTCGCACCACTATCGCCGGCTTTCAACCAGTGTTTGTTTGAACGCATGCTGAAATGAAACATTCCCTTTGAAATAAGCATGCTCCTTGAAATTACCGTCGTGCTTATTGATCTCGGCCACTAGCGGAGCGCGGGCGTCACAGTCACAGTGATCACCGTGAACATAGCCGACAGAGAGAACCTCCGGCGACAGCGAACGGCGGTGACCACCGCCCAGTCAGCGAGGAGTGAGGCCAACTGTTGCCCCTCCCCCCTTCCCCCCCCCCCCCCCCCCAGCTGACCGAGGCACACCTCGCCCTATCCCGGAGCAGTGGGGACGGTCATGTGACGGCCGCACGCACATAGCCCGAGCGCTGACCTCATTTCCAAAGAGGGCATTGGGAAACCGTCCTGCGCCGGCCAAAACGGGGAGACGGCGTGAGAAAGCTGTTTGGCCGGTGTTTGGCACAACCACGAAGACACGCCGCCGACAGTCGCCCGAAATGAGACCACTTCTCGGTACACGCGGCGCAGGACAAACACGGCCATACATCACTGTCCCTCAAATGCGTAATGGGTCGCCACCTTGTGCGCGTGTCCGTCGTCTATTATCGGCGGTAAGTCACCTTACGCATCATCTTGTTTACTTCGCTGCATCTCATTTCCCCCTAATTCTTCGCTCTTCCCATCCTCTCTCCAGGATGTTATTATGCTGCACTCTGCCACACGAATGCGGTGATTTTGGACGCACAAACCAGATGCCATCGCAACTGACCAGGTGAGTGACTTCGCCGGCGCCATCTCCGGACCGGGCCGGGCGCCCCGGCCGCCGGCGGCGTCAGGCCGACCGGGCGCACGGGACGTCGCTGCGCGCTCGCTCTGCCTCGGCCAGTGACCGCGCAGAGGGTTGTCGACCTTGGCGACCGAGTTGGCCCGTCCGAACCGGGAAGGAGGCGGGCTGCGCCTGGCTGCCTTGGGAGGTCGCCCCGCTCCGCGAGCGGCGAGGTCGGGTCACCGCAACGGGCCGCGGCCGCCGGCGCCACACCAGCTCAGTGACGCGATGATACGTGAGGCCCGGCCGGGCACGACGGAGTGCGTTCCATACGGCGGCCTTGTGCGTAAGCGCATCCGGGTGCCGGCTCAATGAGGGGCGAAACTGCGCTGTTGACTGCCAGCGACCGAGGGGTCGGTGAAGGCCAGGGTCGCCACAACTGAGGCGCACACCAAGGGCAACAGGTGGTGGTGCCGACCGCCGCCGACCGGCCGGCGGCGCCGTGGTGATTGGGGATCGCGCCCTCAGCGGCCGGACAGGTCGCTGCTCGCGCACCTCCGCGACGAGCTATGTCCGCACGGCAGCCGGGGCTGGAGCCCGTTCTCTGACACGAGAACCAATGAACGTACGGGCAACGGGTGACGACTTCTCCACACCGCCTCGCCTGCGGTGGGAAGCGCCGAGTGGAAAACAGCGAAAGGGGGTTAGGGCAACAGAAAATGACTGCGGAGAAAATTTGAGCCGGGCCAGAGAAGACAGCTAGCGAATAGAGAAAAGACTTGACGCAAAAGACACAGAAGAGTTAAAGAACAAAAGCAAAGAGCGCGCGGACGTGGACATGCAAAAACACATTAATGGGGGGAAGAAATAACATGAAAAAGAGTGACGGGCGAGTCCCAACGAAGACAGCTAAGAGGAAAGCAAGCGAAGAGGAAGAGTGAGAGAGAGGGGGAGGGAGAGAGAGAGAGAGAGAGGAGATGCTGATTGTTTTAAGAGCAAGTTTAAAAAAGAGTTTAAGAGCAGATGACCGATCAGCAAATTTGGCATTCCAGCTCTGGGCTTAAACAGCCTGTGCATGAACATACCACCGACATCCGAACTCGACCAGCAGCGCCACAACGTCGCGCCAGTAAGCGCCGCACGCCAGCACGCAAACGCTTCGACAGATAATGCGGTCGTCCGTAGCCTCGCGGGAGATGGGCGAGGCCTGACGCCGTGCCCAGCTGGCCTGACTGGCCTGCACGCGGCCAGATCGGCCGGACGACCTTGCACGGAATGCTGTCGGCCTGCCAGCAGCCAGCCCTGCAGCCTATCTTGCCGGCCGATCGCTGGGAGTCGACCGGTCGTGACCCGGCCGCGCGCCAAACGGCCGC